CTGGGGTCGCGAGAGGTCAGCAGGGTCAAAGTGAGGATACAATTGCGTGGGAGGGAGGGAGCTAGAGGAATGGAGGGAGGGAGGTAGAGGAAGGTAGAGGGAGGTATAGGGAGGTAGAGGGAGGTATAGGGAGGTAGAGGGAGGGGGTAGAGGGAGAGAGGGAGGTAGAGGGAGAGAGGGAGGTAGAGGGAGCTAGAGGAATGGAGGGAGGGAGGTAGAGGGAGGTAGAATGAGGGAGGGAGGAAAGTAGAGGGAGAGAGGTAGAGGGAGTGTGAGAAGGAGGGAAGGAGGGAGGGAGTTAGAGAGGGAGGGACATAGGGAGGGAGAGAAGGATGGGGAAGAATAGAGTGGCGGGGAGGAGAGGGAGAAGAGGGAAGGGAGAAATGGAGGGAGGAGGAGAGGAGAGGAATGGAAGGAGGGGGAGAGGGAGAGAGCGAGGGGTAGAGGATAGGGGAGATAGAATGGGAAAGGGAAGTAGAAGGGACGAGGGAAAGAGAAGGGAAAGGAGGAAGGAGTGAAAAGACAGTGAGGGAGAAAGGGAGATAGAAAAGAGTGAGAGAAAGAGAGGAAAGGGAGAGGTAGAAGAAAATGAGGAAGAGAGAGAGAGAAGGAAGGAAGAAGTTGGAAGGGGAGAGAGGAAAAGGAGAAGGAGAAAGAAGGAGAAAGAGAAAGAGAGAGAGAAAATCTGCAAAGGTCCCATTAGCCAAGGTCAGCCCGAGGAAGGTCAGCGAAGGTCGCCATCGCCAAGCTCTCCCAAGGCCAAGGTCCAAAGGTCTAGAGGGCAGCGTCGGTTGCTCGTCCCGATTCATCAAGTGCGAGTTCACCACGCCTCGTAGATCAGACGGACTCGCTCGCTCTCTCTCGCTCTCTCTCTCTCTCTCTCTCTCTCTCTCTCTCTCTCTCTCTCTCTCTCTCTCTCTCTCTCTCTCGCTCGCTCTCTCTCCCTCTCCCTCTCTCACGTGTGCGTGTGTGTATGTGTTTATACGTATGTGAGTGTATGTGTTACGTGCACATGCTTATCCATACATATGTATACAAGACACATATCTAGACACATTTATCCTTGCTAATCCCCCAAGATACAATTCATCAAGAAACCAAATAGTCAATATATAAATTGCTTTTCGGTTTTACTGGACATCCCCTTCGTTAATCATCTTTCGCCAAACCAAACTTCTACTCACAAAGATGATCTCGAGATGAACAGCTTCCTAGAACAGCCACATACCTGCAAGAAGAGAGGAGGAGGTGAGAAGGAAGATAATATTTGCTTAAAATGATAACAAAATGTGACTGAAAGGCCGTGTGAGACCTTCATTTCTTAAGTCTACGATGTAGGCCTATCAATTTTATTATTCAACGATGGTAAGCATTAAATTAAAACTAAAATAAATCCCTCTCCATTTGCAACCAATTAGAATATGAGCAAAAACTGAGAGCGAGAGAGAGAGAGAGAGAGAGAGAGAGAGAGAGAGAGAGAGAGAGAGAGAAAGGGGGAGAGAAAGGGAGAGAGAGAGAGAGAGAGAGAGAGAGAGAGAGAGAGAGAGAGAGAGAGAGAGAGAGAGAGAGAGAGAGAGAGAGAGAAAGGGAGAGAGAAATAGAGAGAGAGAAAGAGAAAGGGAGAGAGAAAGAGAGAGAGAAAGAGAGAGAGAAAGAGAGAGAGAAAGAGAAAGGGAGGGAGAAAGGGAGGGAGAGAGAGAGAGAGAGAGAGAGAGAGAGAGAGAGAGAGAGAGAGAGAGAGAGAGAGAGAGAGAGAGAGAGAGAGAAAAGAGAGGAGAAAAGTGAAAAAAATAAGATAAAGAAAGAAAATGAGAGAGAAAAAAGGAGTTCACGCCCTCACGCCCTCGAACCAAGCCACCCAAACAAGAGCGACGAGCGAAGCGCAGTGTCCCTCCGTCCTCTCCCACCCTCTTATTCATCACCGCCTGCTATTGTGATGACGTCAGCGTGATGACAGGAATCGGAAGATGGCCGTGACCTGTCGTCATCACAAGCATGATGACTCGGCGCGACTCGGGACTTGGCGACTCGAAAACACTTTTTTGTTCATGGAACTTTAGCGAGGGACGTAACGGGGTCATACGCGGGTGGGTTCATGTGTGGGCTTGTCGGTGTGAATGCAATGATGAATGTGCTGCCCAATGTGCACGGATGATTGCACAAAAACACACGTACTCAGTAACTCGATCTGATGTTGTCTCCGTCTGACTGTTTGTCTATTTGTGTGTGTGTGTGTCTGTCTGTGTGTCTATCTGTGTGTCTGTCTGTCTGTGTGTCTGTCTGTGTGTCTATCTGTGTGTCTGTCTGTCTGTGTGTCTGTCTGTGTGTCTATCTGTCACTATCCCCTTTCCCCTTGTTCACCCCCCCCCTCCTTATCTCCCTTTTCCTCCCTCTCAGTCTCCTTACACCTTACCATTTTTTAACAAGAATGAAAGAAACGAAACAAACGAATGAATCAATGAAGGAGTGATATAGATAGATAAATAGATAGACAAATTGATATATATATATAGAGAGAGAGAGAGAAAGAGAAAGAAATAGAGAGAGAGAGAGATAGAGAGAGAGAGAGAAGGAGAGAGGGAGAGAGGGAGAGAGGGAGAGAGGGAGAGAGGGAGAGAGAGAGAGAGAGAGAGAGAGAGAGAGAGAGAGAAGGAGAGAAGGAGAGAAGGAGAGAAGGAGAGAAGGAGAGAAGGAGAGAGGGAGAGAGGGAGAGAGGGAGAGAGGGAGAGAGGGAGAGAGAGAGAGAGAGAAGAGAGAGAAAAGAGCGAGAAGGAGAGATGGAGAGATGGAGAGATGGAGAGATGGAGAGATGGAGAGATGGAGAGATGGAGAGATGGAGAGATGGAGAGATGGAGAGATGGAGAGATGGAGAGATGGAGAGATGGAGAGATGGAGAGATGGAGAGATGGAGAGATGGAGAGATGGAGAGATGGAGAGATGGAGAGATGGAGAGATGGAGAGATGGAGAGATGGAGAGATGGAGAGATGGAGAGATGGAGAGATGGAGAGATGGAGTGATGGAGAGATGGAGAGATGGAGAGATGGAGAGATGGAGAGATGGAGAGATGGAGAGATGGAGAGATGGAGAGATGGAGAGATGGAGAGATGGAGAGATGGAGAGATGGAGAGAGAGAGAGAGAGAGAGAGAAGGAGAGAAGGAGAGAGGGAGAGAAGGAGAGAAGGAGAGAGGGAGAGAGGGAGAAAGGGAGAGAACGAGAGATGGAGAGATGGAGAGATGGAGAGAGGGGGAGAAAGAGGAAGAGAAAGAAGGAGAGAAAGAGCGAGAAGGAGAGAACGAGAGAACGAGAGATAGAGAGAGGGAGAGAAAGAGGAAGAGAGAAAGAGGGAAAGAGAGATTTGGCAAATATACGAGATAGAGAAGCGAGGGAATGGCAAAATTATGCAAAAAGTATGCTGAAATTCTGCATACAAAAGGCAGATCAAAGGGAGGGGAGGATAATCACAAAGAGAAAGAGGAGAAACCTAAGAAGAACAAGAAAGACGAACAGGAAAATGAAAGTAGACATTTAAATTCTGGGAGAGAAAGAGAATAGAGAATAGAAGGAAAAAAAAACAAAAGAAAGGGGAATAAATGAAATTGCGAAAAAAAGGATGGCGAACTGCAAAATAAAAAAAACAAAGAAAATGAAAAAGACAATGAAGAGGTGATAAATAGGGAGAGGAGAAAAAAAGAGAAAATGAGGAGGACGGCGAAAATGATAAAGAGAGATATAAGGAAAGGGAAAAAAAAGCTAATCAGAAAAACGAGAAAACAAATAGAAAAGAGGTAGAGGAAATGGATAAGTATAGAAAGAGAATAAGGAAGAAGAAAAAATAAAATAAAAAGCATGAGACGAGAGAGAGAGAGAGAGAGAGAGAGAGAGAGAGAGAGAGAGAGAGAGAGAGAGAGAGAGAGAGAGAGAGAGAGAGAAACGAATGAAAGAGAGAAAAAAGGGAGATAGATAGAGGGAGAGAGGGAGAGAGAGGGAGAGAGAGGGAGAGAGGAGAGAGAGAGAGAGAGAGAGAGAGAGAGAGAGAGAGAGAGAGAGAGAGAGAGAGAGAGAGAGAGAGAGAGAGAGAGAGAGAGAGAAGAAGAAGAGAAAAAAAGAGAAGTTAAAGAAACAGGTACAAGGAAGAGGCAACGGAGGCGGAGCAGCAGCATCAGCCGCTCGTTGCAAAAGGTTGCACACCAGAGCGAAAACCACGGCATGAGATCTCTGCATGAACACGGGCGGAGAAGCATAGAGCCTCGCCCTCAATTTCCCTTCATTCTTTCTCTCTTTCCCCCCTTTTCTTTATACTTCTCGCTCTTTCTTTCCCTTCCCCTCACTCTTATTCTTTCTCTCTCATCCCCGTTTTCTTGATCGTTCTCCTTCTTCCTTTCCCTTCCCCTCATTCGTATTTTTTCTCTCTCTTCCCCCTTTTCTTTATCCTTCTCCCTCTTCCTTTTACTTCCCCTCACTCGCATTCTTTCTCTTATTTCTCTTCTTCTTTTCCTCGTCTTTATTCTCTCTCTTCCCCTTTCTCTTCTTTCGCTCCTTCCTCTCCCTTCACCTCCCTATTTTCCCCCTTTCTCTCTCGTTCTTTCTCTTCTTCCCCTCTTTTCAAATCTTCTCCTTTCCCTCATACTCACTATTCCTCTACTTTCTTTCCTTTCCTCTCTCTTTCTCTCTCTTCTTTCCCCTCTCCTCTCCCTCCTTTTCCCTCTCCTTCCCCTTCTCATTCTCTCTATTTTCCCCTCTCCTTCTTTCTCTGTCTTCCCCCCGTTACTCTTTCCTCTCTTTTCATTCCCTTCTAGTACTCTTTTCTCCTTCTCCTTCCCCTTCTCTCTCTCTCTCTCTCTCTCTCTCTCTCTCTCTCTCTCTCTCTCTCTCTCTCTCTCTCTCTCTCTCTCTCTCTCTCCTCTCTCCTCTCCTCTCTCTCTCTCTCTCCTTTCACCCTCTTCTCCTCTCTCTCTCTCCTCTCCTCCCTCTCCTTCCTCTCTTCTCTCTCTCCTCTCC